ACCAACCCCTCACCTCTCAATTCATCTGCAAGGCTGTGAAATAAGTATTTAAAGGAGGGTTAAGAAGGTGTGGGCCCTGGCACCTGCCCTGCAGCCAAATGTCTCTGAATTCCTTTATCAGTGACCCATTCCAAAATGGGAACATTCTCTAGCCATCATACTTGCTTAGACCAGAAAAACATTGCCTTTGCCTTGATAACTGAGGAAGGAGGAATAGTTAGCCTGGATTTCAGATGCTGCACCTGGGCAATGCATTTGTCCCAGAGATGTCTGTGTTTATGCTGGAATTACAACACCAAGAGCTGGGAAGTGACTGCCTGGAAAGCAAAGTGATTCTTGTAATCGTAGAATCATGAAAAACAAGAAGGGAAAGGTATCCATAAGGAATCACCCAGTCCATACATTGTATTTATGCAGGGCCATCTATCCCAGTGCCATTCCTAATGATGCCTAATTTATACTTACAGCCTTAAATATCCCCCTGTCTTTCACAGGAAATCCACCCCTGTGCCATCCCTATCATTAAGAAGCTTTCCAGGGGCTTTGGTGGTGCCTCCTTGATGTAATTTAAACCTCTGCTTATTGCTGCTGCTGTTGGTGTCTCTGCCAGCACCTAGTATTGCAGTGACCAGACCAGATGCAGTATTACAGCTCAGCCCTGCTGCTGAAGGCAGTCTAAGCTCTTGCACTTCATTTTGTATATCCAGTATAATTGCACTTTTTTGGCAGTGACAGATCACTGTAGACTGATTCCAGCTCGTGACTCCCTAGCTCCACCACACAAGTGCCACTTAACCTGCTGTTCTCCATTCCAAACATGAGCTGTGATTGCTCCTGATGAAGTGTCGCACCTTGTTCTCATCCTTATAAAATTTTATTCTGTTTTTAGACCCTTTCTGAACTTCTCTGTATGATTTACAATTCTAATCCTCTCCCCCAGCATTGCTTAGAACTTCCAGGCTGATGTTGCTTCTTAAACAACCAATTTGCTTTTTCATTATCCAGCTGACTAATGAAATGCTGAATGACTGATTAACTTGAACTAAGTGTGTCTCTGCAATCCCAATGTGATGGATTTCCCACAGTGACAGTGACCCATTGCTAACTCTCAGCAGTCACTCAGCCAGTTTTGCTGGCCTCAGAGCAGTTTCCTTAGTTGCTTCTGACAATGCTGTGTGGTGCAGCAATAGAAATCATAGAATCACAGAATAATTAGGGTTGGAAAGGACCTTAAGATCATCTAGTTCAAACCCCCTGCCAGGGATGGAGCCAAATCTTCCTGAAGTTGATTACATTTTGCTTTCCCTACCTGCAAGGCCTGTTACCATGTCACAGAAGGAAACTTAACTGGTTCGACTTGATCCTTGGCAAATAGCTCTTATTTGCAACTCCAGTTCTTGTTTTCCAAATGCTTACAAACTGTCAGTGGGATCATTGCTTCTAAAACATTCTCAAGGATTGACCATGAACTGCTCTGTGTGTCGTTTCCCAGTTTCTCTTCCCCCTTTTAAGGATAATCACTGCATTTAACCTTTTCCAGGGCTGGTATAACTCACATCTTCCCTGAGCTCTCAGCAATAATTGCTGGTGGTGGTTGCTTCAGTTTCTTATTTAAATATCCTGAGGTAGGTCTAGTGATAGCCTTGAGTAAAAAGAGAGCTGTTGGCAGATTGAAACACCGATAAGTGACTTGGCACACACCTACAGGCATATGTAACCAGGGCAAATTTACCTAAAACATGTTCACTGGTGTTAGTTGTGTTTGTCTCCTGCTCACTAGTTCCCCTGATTTTGGTTGGTAGATAAAATAGATGCTAAACCCTATATCACTTTCTAGGCATCAACCTGGTTAACTTTCCCCGTCTGCTGAACAGAGAGCAAACTCTTTGCTTGGGTTTTGTCTTCCTTGCTGCCTATGTGTTTCAGGAATGCTTAGGTGCTATTTTGCTTGTTTCTCGCTATTTGCATCTGGTTTTGCTTCTTGGCCTTTCTGGGGTTGTGCTTGTATTCTCTTGCCATTCTGTTATTCAAGTAATAGTAACCAGACACAGGTTCTTCTGTCTCTGTGCTTTCTTTTTCTGTTTGAGTTCAACAAAGGGCTTACGGCCATGTTAGCAGGCAATGATTTAGCACTTCATATTAGGCTGGGATTAATCACCCTATTTGCCATAAGTACCCATGACTATAATAATGGAGTTCTAAAATTAGAACCTTTGCCTGTACCTTCCTTTTTTGCCCACATATTTAACTCAGACCTTTAATGTTAGTGATTTTTAGCTAGGTATATGCATTTTCTTCCTCCACTGCAAAGGTGTGACTTTCAATACCTGTGACACATAGGCATCAATAACAGGGAGCTACTTGATGTCTATCCACACAAATCATTTTCCCAATAAATATCTGGAAGTTTCTGACTATTTTGGAGGAAACTCTTCTTTTGTTAGTAATTCATAATTGGGTATGGATTCTCTGTAGAAAAACGAAGTGTATGTATTTCGAACAGCCCTCTGGGATTCACTGTGACATTCTTCAGACAGCAAATGGACTCCTATGAATCCCTTGGAATTTTCTTGTCCTTCACAGCAAATTTAGCACTGGTATCCCTTAGTCATAGTGGTAGGCAGTGTAATAGAAAGCAAGACATGCAAGTACTTCATGCTTCTCTCTTCTTCAGCATTGCTGGAGGTGATAGAACAACACAGATTTATGGAACTTTTCCATGCAGACTGGCTCCTCTTCCCTGTGAATTGAGAACTGCATCTTGGACCACACAGTTCTGTTAGCAAAAGGAATGGGGAACTTTTTTTATGCTTCTTAAAGACCGTGTAATTTGACACAAAAACTGGCTGAACTCTGCAAGTGCAATGTCTGATCGTTTCATGTTGGCACCAAGCAAGTGAAAAAAGGGGTATTATTTTAAGCTTAGTAGTGTGCTGTAACACAGAAATGACACTTTCCACCCCATTAGCTGGTGGATAGTGCCTACTGCAGATCCCCCCACTGTCACAAGTGGGAGGAGGTTCAGTGCTGTTGTACTGTCTGGGTGGCAGTGGTCCTATTCAGCAAGGACTTCTCTGCTGTTATCACACTGTGAAGTCTGGACAGTGGGTGACTGAGCAGACAGAAACCAACACAAAGACAGTCCATCCTCTCACAGACATGCTTTATTGGCTGCATATACAACCATGCAAAACTTTGCTGTGATATACAGACCCTAATAACAAGGTATCACATGTAGGCATCCTTGGAGTCTTGGCATGCTGGGAATGACGTATTTCAGGACCTTCATCCTCTCTTTATTTCACATTTTCCCAAGCTCTCTGCTCTGATCCCCTTGTATACTTTCTGCAGTTCTTTAAGATGGGTAACACCTCTGCTTACTTCTATGGTTGCCTTTCCTCCTTGAGATGTCAGATTCCTTTCCTTCCCTCACTGTGGATTGTACTGCTGTCCTACCTACCTACTGAAAAGACCAAGCAATTATGAAATATATTTTACCAAAAGGTTATAATTTAAAAAGAGAACATATTGATACCTTGAAAAAATATTAGAACAAACAATACTTTTCACCTCATCAAAGGTTATTACATCTATAGGCAATTCCTTTCCATCCTTTTCTTGAAGCTCCTGTAAGTGCGGTGGGACCATAATGAAGGTATGTGCAATGAACACATATGCCAGGGTGAATGGAAATGTAAGGCTTGGATTTTGAGCCAGAATTTCCACTTGGTGTTATTTAAAGCTGCAGATCAGGGCTAGACTATGACAAACTGTAGAGTGTTGTTCCATGATATCCTAGTCCTTAAGGAGCTGCTCCTTTAACAAGCACCTAGGACCTGTGAAGAGATGAACAATGTTAAACTGGGCCAACCACACAACCTTACTTTAACCATCCACCTTCAGAGCTTGGCTTAGGAATTTCAGCTTCTCATAAAGTCAGTAGAGCCATTTTGGTGCACATGTGTGCCCTGACTTACCCTATGAAGACCCCATTTGACTGGGGGTCTTCATTTGGACCTTCCACACAAAGGAAGTAGAGTTTCAGTTGCACTTTGGGCTAAAAATTTGCTCAGTGTGTCTCATTCTTGCAGGAATTGCTTCCACAGCTCTGGGCTGCTCCCCTGCAAAGTCCTCTGTGGCTTGCATAGGGTAATTCCACTTTGCCAGAAACTAGTTAAGACCCTGGAGTCCTTTGAGATGACTTTTAAACTAACATGGCCCAAAAGCATAAGCATTGCAATGGGAGATGTAAGGGGTAGTTCTGAGGAAGCCAGAGGAACACGTCAAATAGAAGCAGCCTAGCAGGTTAGTTGCACTGTAGAGACCAGGAAGGCTGGATGGAGCCTGCTGCCTGCCGAGAAGAGGCAGAGTGTCCTCCTGTGAGCAATGAATGAAAACAGATACAGAGCAAGATAAGTCTTTAATTATGCTGTGGGGCAAACAGGTATTGAGAGCATCTTTCTCTCTTGTCCAAAAGATATCAGCTCCTCTTTCTGAATGCTTGATTTCAGCTGGGTGCTCACGGAGATCCCTATCCAGGAGACACAGCCTATTAGCAAAATCCCAGTTCAAGAGTTGAGCTTGAAGCGAGCATCCTTAAACTTCTGCAGTGTGTGGGTTTTGGCTGGGCTGTTATCATGGTTACCTAGTGCGAAGCTGCGCAGGATCCATATTCCTGGCTGGTTCCTGTGCCAATGTTGCTGTTTTCCACCAGGCTTCGTTTTCAGTGCAGTTAAATGAAGCTGCTAATGGAGTCTTCCCCAGCGTGCAGGGCGCCATCAGCAGGCCCTACATCTTCATTTTTCCAAGCAAACTTCTGAGTTTTCATCTCATTTGAAACCTCCTGGGGAAAAAAAAAAGGTCTCATTCTGAGTTAGTTACAGCTAAAGCAAGGGATGAGAGCTGCATATTTCAGCATAGTCCCTTGGGGAATAAAAGCAACACAAAAATTGCCTAAGACCTTCTTATGGGCAGCAGCCAGTGTTTGACAGGGAGAGGACATGGCCTTTGAGCAGAGGCAGAGGAGTACAGAGTACAGCAGAGGCTATGTGGGACACTGTGGTCCCTTTAAATCTTCTCCTCCACTTGGCAGCTCCAATTTTTCGGTGTTGCTATAGCAAATCTCCATGGCAATGACCCTAATCAGGGAAGGGGGGATGCAGAGGGGACGCATGCTCAGAGTGGTGCTGGAGCCTCTCCTGCTCCCTTCTGCTGCTCCAAGGGTCTGGCACACAGGTGAAGAGAAGGATCAGGTACTTGGCAAACCAGTCCTTGGGATGCATCACAAGCCCATAGCATGTCGCTGCAGTGATGTGGCGGGGTGGGGGTGGGGGGTTGTGTGTTGTGTGTTGTGTGTGCATGCAGGTCTGTGCTTACCATGGCTCGTCCTCTTCTTTGTGGGGAGCCAGCTTCTGAGTTTCACTATTTCTCCTCGTTCCAGGCAGGGAAGACTGCTTGAATTACTGCCGGGAGTCATGGTGTTGTCTGCCTGCAGCGTGGTGCGTGTGGCCATTCCAGTCATCTCAGTGGTTGCCCTGTTAAGCGTGAGCCTTGTGGGGGCCAGCCAGGATTCCGGGAGTGTCATCCCTGCGGAAAGTACGTACCTGCGGGGCACTCGTGCCCTCCCGCTACCCCGTGTCCTGCTTGCTTTCCTCCACTTAGCCCATAGCAGCCACACAGACCTTGAGCTCCAGGGGGACGCTGCATTGCCTGATTAGAGAGGGAGAAACGATGCTTTTGGAACATGTCAGCAAAGCACATGACAACGATGCTTATAGGAACAGCAAGCTAGCAAAGGATTAGTAGTTATTTAGGAAAAGATACTAACTGTGTACTGTAAATTTAATTGGAGCTTGTTTAAAGCTCTTTGGTTGTAGGTCTTTTAGATCTGCTTCTTGAGAGAGTTTTGTTTCCTCATTTGCTACAATACATATAACATCCTTGCTAGTCTGGATAGCCTTAGAAGAAAACTTGTGTTTATTTCTGCTAGAACATTACTTATTTTCATATTTGGCTGGAACAGTAGGTCAAGTTCAACTTTCTTGTGACTACTACAGATTGATGTGGGGGGAGTTTACCCAGACAGTGTATTTGTCATACATATATCACCAGGGAGCTGAGAGCTCCTGAATGTGGATCACAGCGCTGTATTAGCTTCCCCTGTCATTTCAAGCAAGCCTCTGGTTAAGCTTTCTCAGCTCCAAAATGAGGCAATAGTTCAAAGATATTAGGGGATGGAGTCAATGTTCTCAGGGTGTTTTGGTGACAGGAAGTGGGAAGTAGCCACTCACTGGAAACTTAAAATAACCTCTGGGAATAAAAGTAAAATAGGAAGGTAATTGCGTACAAACCAATCTCCAGTTCTCAGTCATGCTTTCTTTGTATACCTGGCTACCAAAGTTTTTAATACAAGACCTGATTTAGTCACTGCATTTTGTTCTCCTATGATTCCATTTCCAGTTTTCAAATATACCTCTGTGTATTTGTCTCTACAGGACTCACATGCTGAATTCCCTCCTTTAACCCACTCCCTTCTTTTCTTTTTATAAGTCCTAAGTTTTGCTCTGTTCTAAACCAGACTCATCTCTATTCTGTGGTCTGTTTTCTGGGCATTAATTGATTTCAATAACTTGTGTGACAAGTATTCCACTTCATCCCCTCCAGGAGAAATCATAATTGAAAAATAAATTATATCTGCCTTTTGTGTGTCTATGTTAGCAGAGGCAATTTGGGGAAAGAAGCATATAGTAGTTCCTTGTTCTGCTTGTGTAGAGCAAACTCCCATTTGATCTGTAGAACAAAACTCTTGGCCAGTCTGACCCCAGCCTCAAGGAGTTACCTCTTTGATATCCTCTGGCCAGGCTGCCAAGTCCCCTGAAGAGCACTTGAGGAGGATTCCTTGTCTCATCTTACTCCTGCATGTGAGAGTGAGGGATGAAGGGCAGAATGTTTCTGTGGCCAGTTTCTGCAGAGATGTGCTGCTCTGTCCTGAGTGATGGAGGCTGGTAGCGTCACAGAGCAGTATTTATGTCTGAGGCCAGGCCAGGAGCTGACTCTGAATTGTAAATTGTTCTGTGCTGCTGCAGGGGCAGACTTTTAAAGCAACAAGGAAAACAGGATGCTCCTAATGAATCACTTGTTGAGAGAGTGCTGCAGAGCTGCTGAGTGCTCCAGGTACTACCCTTTGCCTATCAGGGCTCTTCCTGAGAGTTAACCTGTGGAACTCCTCCCTTAGGACACTGTGGATGCTGAAGGTTTGTGTGGGATTGCAGAACTGATTGGGTATGTTTAAGGGGAAAAAAAAATCTTAGAAATGGCTGTTAGATACAGCAGCAGTTCTTCTGGCTCAGGAGCTGCCTCAGCATATTCCTGAGGCCTGAAAGGCTCTTTGGGGACACGTTCCTCCATTCTTGTCCTGTTCTCCTCTTTCATGAACATCCATTGCTGGTCATGAAGTTCATGTCTATAACCAGTCTCCATGGATGTTCCCTGGCATGGGGACATCTGTACTAGTAACCTGCTAGGATGGTCCCTGGCACGCTTTTGTCCATGACAGGAGGCCAACTGCCTATCTGGAAGACAGAGTTTACTGTTGCAGTGATCCCATGCCAGCTCTCAAAGCTTGGGAATGCTCCTAGACACATTTAATGTAGTGTAAAAGACATTGCTCATGGGAGACAGGACCCTGGGCCAGGCAGACCTTTGATATGATCTAGTACATGCATTCCTGGAGCTTTACCTGCTGGATGTCAGCGCCACTGGCTATGTCTCATCAAGGAGTTGATCCTCCTGGGCACTGACCCATTTTGGGGTAGTGCTACTGGAGCACGTCCGCACACCTTCCCTATTGCTGGCACTGAAGTCCACGCTGTCAGCTGAGGGAAACTGATGGCGGTGGGATCCCAAATGACCCAGGTGAATCAAAAGGGCTCTAGTACACATTCTTCACAGGGATAGGTGATGCACATGGACCATACTAAGTGTCTTTCTGCAGGGCAGTCCAGTGTGGTGCTCCATGATTTTGTCTGTTCCCAGGTGTGCAACATGGGACTGGGAACATGCCTTTAGGAGGAACAATCCCTCATGGACCACACAGCACTACAGCCTCTCTCTCCCACTTGGTGGGAGAAATGTGTCCCTCCTGCAGCACCATGAGCAGGAGGGGGACAGCAACGCTCTCGTGTGAGTGTGGGAGGTGCAGGAGGCACAGGAGAGAAGCATGACAGTGAGTCAGAGTCCTTCTTAGCATTGCAGACAGATCCTGCCATGCGTGCAGCACTAGTAGCTGGCTTGGGGTACCATCACCTGCTCTCCACTTGGCACGCTTTCTGCCAGCCAGCGAGCCAGCCCCAGCTCTTCATGAATAATGCTAATTAGCAATGATTAATCATGTTCCTATGCTTCATACACAGCACTTCGCATAGGCACAAGGCTGTTGGAGTATGAAGTGGTGTTACTCATGTTTGCGGATCATCTTCTTCAAAGTTCCGTGCAATACACTTAAAGAAAAGAAGTAATTTCCCCAACCTCCCATTGCATTTATAGCCTGGATCACTCACCGTGAAAGCTCAAATGTGGAATTGGAAGAACAGAAACTGGTCAGTCTGTTTTCATTAGCTGAGGTGCAAGAAATACAAAGAGTAAACACCATTGCATGTGAGGGAAAGTAAATTAGACTTCCACAGTGCTTTCAGTTCCAGTTTGTCACCAAGAAGAAGCCAAGAAGCATATTTTAAGCTCTCCTCCCCCACTTCTTCCTAAGCACACAAAGGCACATACAGTCTTCATGCTGACAGGACCCATTTAAAGAATTATAGCTGACTCTTGATAATTCTCATTATGTTAATCCACAAACCTGTTAAGTCTCTCTGCGAATGATAGTCTGTTCTCAGCTGTCAGCAAGGAATTAACAGCACTCTGCTGTACTTTGCTAGGATGTGACTTAAGGTTTGGTTTCACGATTGCTTTAAGCTCATGAAAGCCTGTGCTGCCTCTGCCCTTCTGCTTCTCATAACCTGGCCTCCTGCCTTTGCCCTATTTCTTGTTCTGACCCCAGAACTTGGGCATTCAGGATCTGATGTGGAGCAAAATCACCAGTGATCCATCTGATGAAGCAATGGCAAGGTCAGTCCTGCTGTGAGCGAGGGAAAATGTGAGAACACGTAGCAAAGGGCAGAAAGCAGGATGGGATTGCTCCTATTGGCAACAGCACAGATTTAGATTTGTTTAAAACCCTTGTGAAAACAGACCCTTAGGCATCATTACACTGGGGAAATGTCTACGGGCATCCTACTGGAAATACTGTGAGCATGAAGGAACATTAAGACCAGCTAAGAGGGATCTCCCCAAGAAGGGAGATTAAGGCTAGATTAACAGCTCAGTTCTTCAGTCTGCAAAGAAGACGCCAAGGCAGGGAGTGATGGAGAGCAGGAAAGTCGTAAGTAGGACAAAGATGGTGAATATTTAATAACTGTCTCTTCCACTGCAAAAATGAGAGGCAGGAAATGAAGGCAGCAGATGTTAACCTCGGAGCAGACAGGAATGTTATTTTGTTCACTTACTGAATAGCTCCGCTGTGGAACTCATTGCCACAGGATGCTGAAGATGCCAAAAGCTTACATGGATTCAGGAAGCCACAGGGCAAATTAATGTGAGAAAGATTCGTGGAGGTCTTATCAGATATAGAAACACCAGCCAGACTCAGGATATCCTCCAGCCTCTTGGTAGGCTAGAAGAACATTGCTGGAGACTTATTCTTGTATCTTCCTTACATATCTGCTATTGGGTACTGCAAGAGTCTGGCTGATATAACAGTTTAAAACCCCACTTAGAGCCACGATTTGGGCAGCTCTGTTTGCAGAAGTCTGACAGCAGCTACAGGCTTTCCAAGCAGTAGGGTACTACCCCTATCCTATTTGAGGAACTGCATTCATGTTGCTCTAGTGCAAGATGCTTGATGGAGAGATCAGCACTGCCCTAGTTCAGTCCCTCAAGTGCTGAAGAGATGTGTGCTCTGCAGGGCTGCATGGGTGGAAGTTTACAGACAGCCACCTCCCCAGCTGCTTGTCACCTCCTCCCAGGTACAGCCATCTTCTCATAGAGCCAGAGAATGGTTTGAGTTGGGAAGGACCTCAAGATCATCTAGTTCCAAACCCCCTACCAGTGGTGCTGCTTCAGTGAGTCTTCTCCATGCTTCTGATGCATCCCATCCTGGGATATAGCTGGTCGGAGGAATGAGCTCTCCCACTGCAGGGCTGCAAGCTCACAGCCGGCAGAGGTGCTAACCTGACCCAGAGAGCTGAACCTGGAGAAGGACCCTCCACCAAGGAGGACAACACAGGAAACTATATTAGAGAGTGAACAAAAGTGCCTGAGATCAGTGCACGGTGGGTCCTGTCAGGTCAGAAATGCCCAGCTCCAGAAGTGAGCCATTGTAGCTGCTGTCAAGTCCCCCCCCTCTTCTCCTCCTCCTCTGCCTTTTCCCTGCTCTGCCCCTCCGCGCACAAGCACTGGCACCAGCTGCAGAGCCAGTGGGATGCTTTGCATTCCTGGCAGAGGGAAAATACAGCAGCAGGTGAAAGGAAGCAAATACAGATCTGGCTGTGTCCCTTGCCAAACTGCTCTGTAAGAGCTCCTGTGAAAACAGACCTGCCTGTCTGATTCCTGAACCACTGCAAACTGATATTTTCAGAGTGTCAGTTGAGAGTTAACCCGTGTCTGAGGAGAGCTGAGGATTTCTGTTTTAAGGGGAGAGGCTGGGGGCTGAAAACACACAGCACCGGGCAGAATGAAGCCTGGGCTATGTTCAGAAGCTCAAACACAACAAAATGCTCTTGTGTTTTTGCCAGTTTTTGCACAAGGGTAAGCACAGCCATGTCCAGAGGCAGCCCTAATGCTGTCCATGTGCAGGTTTAGGTGCCTGCTAAAATGGGATTTCTCCTGGCATTACAGGGTCTTTGAGTATTTCCCCACTGTACTGCTGCACTCCAGCCGTGACAATGATGTACTCTTCTGCACCTTTATCCAGGTCGTCCCTGTGTTGACTGCCATGCATTTGAGTTCATGCAGAGGGCTCTGCAGGATTTAAAGAAGACGGCGTATAACCTAGACACACGGGTATGTGTTTCTATACAAAAGCTTTTACTTAGCCTTTATCTCCGAGTGGCCAGCTCTGCCTGTCTGTGTACAGCAGATGTGACATCTCTGCTGACTCACTTCCACTTCAACAAATAGGATTGTATCGAGTACAGATTATTTTTCACAGGTCTGGGAGGTTCATTAAAGATCATCTAGTCTGACTTCTTGCATAATAGGCTAAAGAATTAGCCCAGACAGTCCCTGCATCAAACAGAATAGGAAAGAAGATGTAAGAAGGAGAGAAGAACAAGAAAGATTATTTACTCTTTACCTCACAACACTGCTTCCAAGCTTTGGAGTGACTGTTCAGGAGCAGAAAGTGAATGGGAGAGCAAGAAGGTGGCAGGCAGTGCTGGCAGAGAGGAAAGGGAAGGACATGTATTCCTCGCTCATGGATCGATATTCCATGAAAAAGGGGAAAGCACATTTGCTCACGTGTTATCACAGCACACAGGGCATTTTGCAGCTCCACATCAGCCTTTTGCTGCAGAGGTCCCAGTGAACAAAACATGAAGGTGTGTTAAATGCCCTGATTTTAGCAATGTATATTTACGTGGGTTCATATATATGCACAAACACTGACTCGGGTAGGACTTACCACAGTGGTTCCCATGCTGTCTGAAGAGACCAAGAGGCAGGAGGTCTCTCACCTCTAATAAAGCCCCTCATGTATGTCTTGTTCTACCTCTCCTTCCCTAACAGCTCCATTAACACTGGCACATGACAGTAAAGCAACTTGTGGTACACGAAACCAGTTCACAGCTTCAGCTCCCAGTTCCTTTGGGTGCCCGCTCAGTGCCACCCCTGTCAGTGGGTGAGAAGGGCTCCTTGTTCCAATAAAGGCATGCTCCACTCAAATTGTCATTCACAACAGAGTCAACCAAAGAGATGTAAATCAATTACGTGTCTTGAACACAGAAGGGCAATTATGTTGCTTTGCCTTTGGTTTCTTGTGACCTTGGGCAATCATGTAAGGCCCAACGCAGTAAGGTTGGAGTGACTTTAGCTTTCATGAGCTATCAATAGCAATCTGATTAGGACAGAGCTCTGAGTGCAGTATGGGATATGTTGCAAAGGTTTCCCATGCGCTAGCATAATACTACACAACTCTTAAGCAGTGGAGTGTGAATAGAGGGGCCTTAACTCCAGCAGCTGTGCTGGGCTGTTCTGGTGCATAGTGGGGTTTACCTGTTTGAATTAGGTTCAGTGAGATGTTTTGTACCTACACATGGCATAGCAAGACCATGTGCAATCACAGCTGTTTTGGTTGGTTCTTATACCATCACCAGGCTTCACATGGGAAGTTGAAGGAGGTACTGAATTTCTGTCTAAGCTGCACTGGAAAGACTTTTTTTAATGCAGTAGAGGCAGCTCAGTTCTTTAATCCCACTTGCAGAGTTATTCAGATGTTTCTGTTTTGGCTATTTGAAGAGCAGAGAATACAATCCATGAGAGAACAATGCTGTCTTGTAAGAGGTGAGGCAGAATATAAAGGGAGAAGCTGGTCCTGGAGCAGTGTGAGATAAGCTTCTGTCTCTGTGAGGGCCTGGACAGGCCTGAGATGCCAAGGCACTGTTTCAGAGAGCTCTCAGACTACAGGAACAGTGCATCACCAAACAAAACATAACTAGTTACCTGGAACATCACCCACCCTTTGACAACTGTCAGAATTGAATACTACTAATAAGGAAAGGTTATGTTACTGTCCACCTTTTCCTGCCTTTGGACTGGGACTCTACAGGCCTTTCTAGAACAGATGCTTTAGTTAAATACATATTATTGAATAATGCAGAGATACTAAAGTGAAATGCAGTGACCAAGGCTCTAAAAGTGACACACTGTGGCCTTCTGTCCTCTGAAAGGTAGAGCCTCCATATCCTTACTGAAATGCTGGTGCTTGGCTCATGCTGACCAACTACAGTTTCTCAAGTTTTACACACAAATAACTTCATTCAACAACTCCTGAGCCTTGAAAATTGTTGCTACAAGAGGAAGCCCTACGCAGGACTGCTCCTATCAGGGGCTTCCTAAGCCAATGCCAACAGGGCTGCAATGAATTTTTGTAACTGATGTGTCTCTTTTGTCGTCTTTCATTTTACAATTGAGTGCTCCCAGCACTGCTCTTCTTGCCTGTAAATAGTCATGAGTGACACCCAGGCAGGGTTAGTGGTGACAGTGACAGCTTGTTGGCATTACACTGAAATCCAATAAGCCTGTTTGATGTTAAGGTGATTCTGTGATTCCTACTGGGTTCCCAACAATGCGAGTGTTCACTCATCCAAGATTTCATTGTACAAGTGAGGAGCAGTGTTTAATAACTCCTGCCACTGCACTAAGCCGATAAGTGAAAGCTGACAAGGAAAGCGAACAAGTCCTCTGTAATGCAAGGGTGAATGTCAAAAGTTTGGGTTGAAAAGGATAGAGGGATGTGAAGGGGAGAAAAAACCAGTTCTGAAACAGCTTCTCCCTGCAAAAGCTTGTGGTCTGAGAACAAGAAAGGAGTAGTAGAGAGTGGGAACTGATGGGTACCTCTGGTGGCCAAGCAAGGCAGAGCTTGGTGGAGCCGGTCCCCATGAAGAAGAGCACAGCCACTCCTTTGGAATTTGTGAGTCTTTGTTGATTAGCCCTGTGCTGTTTCTGATTTGTGAGGAGGTGTCATGTCAGAGGAACTCCAGCAGGCTGAAGCCCTTGTTTCACAGAGCTTTCAGACAATTTGTTGACAAGTGGTTTTCAACCTTTAGTGGTTTGTTCCCAGTGCAGATGGGAAACCGATTCGTGGCTCATTTAAGCCTGATAACTTTTTTCTCCCCTCAAAAAACTCTTCAAATTCAGTCTACAAACTGCTTAAGGGACCACAGACCACAGGGTGAAAACCACACGATATGCTCAGGAAGAAGTTTCTCTTCAGTATCAATTGCACTTGCTAACCTGAGTTTCTTGCACCAGTAACTTTATTTTGAGCCTTATAAGAGACTCAGTTTCTGAAATGATGGTGCCATTTGCAAAATTCAGCCTTTGTTTCTCAGAACATGAGACCAGGACCCACAAAAGTTTTAAGTTATTTGATCACAATTAAATAAATTACACTTAAATATCTTTAAGGATGCAAAGTTTGGGGTTTTTTTTCCTGGAAACAGAGGAAAAAAGCTTGGAAATGCTTTTCCACTAAAGCATTCCAAAAACAAGTGCAAGGAATGTTACATGATGCATATAGAGAATGGCTTTTAAGATTTTGATGGAGTTCTAGGGGCAGGCATGGCTCCAAGTGGAGTTGATAAGAAGGCAATTCTGAGTAAATTAACTCAAGTTAAAAAGAGGAGCCACAAACTCAAGTCTAGATCTGCCCTGAAAGTTTATGAGTTCCAGACAACAAGGCTAAAGTGGCAGCAAGGTTGAACTCAGAGTGATTCTAGAGAAAGAGCAGTGTAACTGAGAGCACAACTGGCTCCTCAGCACATGCTAGCTGTACTGAAGACACCATCAACAGGAAGCCATCAATCACTGCAAAGGAATTAACAGCAGTGCAGTTTGAAGTGGAATTTTTCTCAGCATTGATAAGGGATACTTTAATAATTTTGACAACCTCCTCCCTGGAAGTGAACTGTGAAAATGGAAACATTTAAACTATAAAAGTACTCTCCATGCATCTTGGTGCCAAATATCCTTATTTCATCACTTTTTCTGCATGGGAACCAGCACTAATAACTATGATTTTTCACTCAGCAAAGCACCTTGGCTACAGCTGTGCAGAGGGATTAGGAATAATCAATTATATAGTCTTTTAAAGTGATATATTCAGTTCTTTGATTTCATGTGTTTTGCAGACAGAAACCCTCCTCCTGAGAGCGGAAAAGAGAAGCCTGTGCGATTGCTTTCGTGCAATACACTGAAATGACCACGGGGATTTGGCCAATGAACATTTATTCATTTTTAAAATGCTGTTCAATAAATTACAGGAAGATACAGAGTGCAAGTTGTGCCACACCGCAAGGAAAAGGATTTGTACCCCAACAGGTACAGCTCAGTTAGATCATTTTTGCTTTGATGTGTTTGATCACTACTGTATGCGATATTGCTTCTGCTGAAATGGCAACGGAAGAAACAGTGCCGAAGTCTCACTGATGGGTTTTATGCAAGGATAGCACCTCGCTTTTCTGGTATTCCAAGCCAAAAATGATCCTTGGACTCTCAGGCCAACCCCTCAGCACATGCGAATTGCCATAGATCCGTGAAAGTCAGTGGAATCAAAGTCTTTAATGCATTTATGGCAGAATGTATCCCTACCACGGAAAGGAAGCTACTTTGCAGTGATGCATAGCTAAACATTTACAAACAAGCAGGCGTGGCTCTATTTAGAAATTAACAGTTGTCACTCAGTGCTTGGCAGTCCAAGGAAGGTATTTGTGCCCAATTGTGCCAATAGTCCAGTGAACAGCAAACACAGTAATCTGTATCACAGTTTTAATTTCTTCGGAGCCACACAGTAGCTGTGATCTTTTTGGAGAGATTTATTAAGTCTCTAATGTGATCAGTAACATTTGTAATCACATGAATACTGCCTGGCAATTGAGCTGATTGCGTCTGCCAAAAATCTTCTGGAGAAGTGTCTTTCATTAAGCAAATCACATACTGGATTGAACCACTCAAACTGGCCCTTACAGAGAGCTTTGGCAGGGAGCCTATGGAACGCCTGCATGCCCAGGAGTCTCTTGCAAACCATGTTTTGAGTACATTTAAGTTCTGCCAAAATGGTCCATACATCTTGCAAGGACTTTACACTCCGTAGTGGTGAGTTACAGTGCTTCTGCTGCAGTCAGGGTGAGACAAGAGAGGACAAAATAATGTAGGCAGTGTAGTAGTTGTAGCAGTAGCAACAAGATTGCACCTTGTTACTCCTTGACAGAGAGCAACAAATCCTTTCTTGTTCTCCCTTTTAATTTTTTTGGGGGGGAGAAGAGCAGAAAATGTCCCCAGTGGAAAGTCCTTGCAGGTAATAATAAACTTTTCATGGGGCTTAAAATGTAATCCCTGAAGTATAATTAATAGATATCTGGATATCAGCTAGAGCATCTATGTACAAGCTAGACACCTTTATACAAACAAGAGTATGGGAGCAGAATCAACAACATTGATTTTCAAAGTAATTTTACTAGTTCTTATTGATACATGTGTCTTCCCATAGGTGGCTGATATTGTGCTGTCAGGCTGCTCAGTAAGTTACAATGGTAGCTCTCTGTATGTTTCCAAATCACTTCTCTCCCATTTTATCTACCACATTAGGCACAGGGAAATAAGGAACTGTGACCCACTGCCAACTTACTATTTTGTGTGCAGCCATGCTCACTAACACAGGGGAGGCTATTACCATATAGTCTGCCAAAGCTGTTTGAAAGGCGTGTGGTTCTCAGCAAGGAAAAGCTTCCTTGCACCTGCATTTCAAGTAGGGAATTTGCTTTGTCCTTTGTGGTATTCTAGAAAAACCCTTCATAGGTTGTCAGGACCTAGTTTGTATAAAAGAGAAGCAGCATGACTTGCTGAATGTGTGCTCAGCAATGTGTGAGCAGCAGCACATTGCTCCTAGTAGCATTTCACTCCCCTGTAGCACTGGTAACTGACTGATGAGAAGCAATAGAGGTTCTTATCATAGACCGTATTTTATTTTACAATAGGTTTAGCACCACTCCTTTGTAAAACACCAACTTTAGATTACCTTACTCACTTAGATTTGAACCAAAGTAATGCACAGATTTTGAGGTGGCTTTTTGCAGGACTTCCAGCACTGAACCTGTGAATTTTCCAGCACAGCTCAACCTTTCCAGGGGCAGCACGTCTATAGTTTTGTACTGCTACTGTGCATGCTTATTCTGCTGGTACCTTAAATAATCTTGCAAAGTCCTGTTAGCAAGCACTGGGGTTTTGGCTGTGTTTATATTTAGAGAAATGGTTGCTCACAGCTGAGTTTTGTTATATGCAGCTTGTTACAATAAAAAGGTGGAATGAATGACAAGTGGGTGTTCTCTGACTCCTAAAGGGATCAGAGTGACACTGCAACTTTACAGTCGTGATGGCAGTGATTATTCTGTATGCACTCATCTTTGTTTTTAACACAATACAATAAAAGGGCAAGATGCATTATAGTATTTGGTGTGCTTTGTTACTGATTTGACAAATGATAATGCTTATACATTAACAAATATCTGGTCTTTAATCAGGTGGAAAATCCACAGAGAAAGAAAAAATGCTGTTTTGAATACAAAAATAAAGAAATCTTGTCCTTGGTCTAAATTTATGAATGTATTCTTATTTGCTGAAGTGTAAAATCGAACTCACTCTTACTTGAAATTGAAAGTAATGCAATGATTTTTGAGTGCTTTTTTAAGGACCCCATACTCTGTACTTGGTGGTTGTGATAAAGCTCCTTACAACTGCTGGATGGCATGAAGGAAAAAAAAGATAGCTTTAATTTATTATTGCTCATAAAGTTAATTTCAATTCAGAAAGCACTGGAGTTTCTACTTACTAGAAGAAACTGTATATTTCACAGAAGGATTTAATTGCAGGCAGCCTTAAAGCAGAAAGCCTGCTTTGCCACACAACACTTCCTGCACTGTTTTGCTGCGGAGCCAAGACAGTTCGTAATGGCCTTTTGAAACCAAGCTGTGTCTTCTTCTCTTTTGGTGCAGTGCTGCTGCAGGCAGCCCCGGGCACATGGCATTTATACATAGTGGAGTGCAAGTGGTAGGCTGCAAAGATGCACAGCCAAATCCTCCCTGTGAGAGAAATGGTGCAATCATGTTAGTGTACTGCTGTCTCTGGGTAGGCAAGGTGATGGATGAATCCTAGTAATGATCTCCACATCTTCAGAGCTCCTCATACCTGAGCTAATGTCTTCTTTGGGTGTAATTCCGTATTCCAAGTTAGTAATTTTGAGCCGAGTCTCAGGACAACTCTCTGAAGACATGGATCATGCTCCCTCCATGGAAGCGTTCAAGGCCAGGTTGGGCAGGGCCCAGAGCAACCGGGTTTACTGGGAGGTGTCAGAGGGCTTGGAACTAGATAGTCTTAAGGTCCTTTTCAACCCAAACCATTCTGTGATTCTATGATTTAATTCTGAAAAAGGAGAACACAATTTATCTTGCTTGTAATGAAGATTCCTGCAACGTCAAAGCTAAGTAGTGTTATTGCTAGCTGAATCTGGCTAGGGTATGGGCCAGTGTTCTTTGCTCATGTTTTGTATGGAATACTGTGAAAGCCCCAGGGAATGCCCTCTCCAGATAGACAACTCATATTTAGAAATCAAGTATTTCTTTGTACCCAGAACTAGACTGTAGGTAACTCCTGGGTGATCTGAGCATCCAATGTACATTCCCCATTTTCTAAGCAGTAGTTATAAAGTGTGTAGGTAGTTCCCTTAGGAGTAGCCATGTGGTTTGTGCCCCATCCTTCACCTGCCCCAGGCTGGTACCCAGGGACAAGACCTCCTCTGTAGCAGTGGGACTTGTGGCGGGAGCTGATGCCGGCTGTTTGTTTGCTACCAGAAGACAGATCTCAGCCTTTGCCTTTGCCTCTCTTGGCAGACAGGGAGAAGCCTCCCTTGTCTAAATCAATGTTCTGTTTAGTCCTTCCCTGGCCAGGACTCAGTGAGTGAGAGAAGAGGAGAGCAAGCGTGGAGCAGAAAAGAGATACCTGCCTTCTGCAGCCTGGCTGAGTTCCTGGCAAATCAGTGCTCCTGACTGAGACACCAGAGCTGCGTCCTCCTAAGGATTTATGTGCTGTGCATGGTAAGTGGAGGCTGCAATCATTCTGAATGAGGGCAGTGCTGCAGACAAAGCCAGCACAGCACTATCAGGATTTGGAACAGGGAGCACACAGGTGTTGTGCGCACTGATGCAAAAGAAGTGATTATTTTCCCTGCTCTCATCAGGCGCGGCATGTGAATTCTCCAAGTTTTCCAGAGCCTGCTTTTGAGAGCTGTGCAGTGAAAAGCAGATGGAAGAGGTGGTTGTGAATAACCCCTGTGCTCCTTAGCTAGGGTTGTGCAGGACATGGGAAGTCTCAGTCAGGCTTTGTGCTGTACTTGTTCCCAGAGGAAATACGGAAGGGCTGGAAGCATCTATTACAATCTGGTACTTGCCAATTTGAAAATTAAAGTGAAAATAATTTGCAGGTGCTTTTACTAGCCAAGGAGAAAGGGAACACTCACTTAAGGAGTGTTCTTGGCAGCAAAAGTTAAATGAAGGTGCAAAACTAATATCGATTACAAATACATAGAGATATGTATAATATGTATATAAGTATGAAATATTTAGCCTCATTTTTGCTCCAGTAAACATTCTGAATAAATAATTTCTGACAGGAATGCATGAAGCAGCATGGATCTGTCTGCTGGACTTCTGAAAAGACACTGTGATTTTACAGTGTTTGGCTCTGCTTTGAACAGGCCTTGGGGCTCTGTTCAGGCCATGAACTCAGTGTCTCTGCATCTCCACACAGGCAAAGGAAGGAAAGAATTTTGCCCCCATATGCTCATGATAATTTGTGGACTGTGGGAGAGAAGCACCTTTTGTCTGACCCAGTATGGACAAGGTTATGTGCTGATGTTATGTTTTCTATATATATGGCTAAAATAGACATTCAGTTTATCAGCTTCCTTCCCCAAACTCCAGAGGGGAAGAATGAGAAACACAAGGAGGCTGCTAGAAAACCACTTCATCATTTGCATCATTCTTGAGGAGACTGAAGCACTTTAACTTTGGTAAGTTTTTGGTAAACTTTAAAGACCCCACTTGCCTCAAACCTGTCTCACTTGCTCCATCCCTGAGCTGGGGGGCAAAAAGGAGATAACTGGATCCCTGAAACATGTAGTTCTAGTTGGCCATTGAGCTCAAGA